ACCTAACCTTCAAAGCTATTCTTTTTGCAACGATTAGAGACTTTTTTTTTTTAAATTTAGAATTATATTTAATTACAACCATTTATTACGCATAATCTGCAAAGATTTTTTGCATATCTTTTATTGGTGAGTTTGTATAAAAGAGATAGTTTGCTTTTCAGCTGTCGATAAAACTTGATCAAGTGAAGAGTTTATGAACATAAAACGGTCTTTTAGATTACTCAAAGTAGAACGTTTCTTTTGAACTAAATATTCGGGAAAGTATTGATGTTCTTTACCGGGTTGGCTGTTAAATCTTAAATAAAAACATTTTTCATTATTAGTAACAGAAATGTAGTATCTAGTTTTTGAAGAAATAAAAATAAAATAAAAAAAATCTAAGTTTGATTTGATTTCTTAAGCACTTTTAAAACATTTAAAAAATTTTGAAACATGGTTAATACAATTATAGATTTTGATATGTAATGTTTAATGAACACTTCCAATGCTATTTTGCAAGTATGAGAGGATTGGCGCCAAATAATTATAAATAAAAAACGCCCAGACAACCTTGCTAAAATATAAATGGTACGGCTATCTGTATTTATGGCCAACGTACAAATTTTTGTGTTAATAGTTGATAACCCGTAAATTATTTTGTTAGTAAAACGAAAACAACAAAATAATTGTGGAAACAAGGACCAATATGTATAAGTAGAAAGCAATTATTTTAGATGTAAACTGTTTTTGGTAAACTAAAAAGTAAAAAATTAGATAAGGAATATTTAAGGGAAGAAGAAAAAAAAATTCATAATAATAATAAAGTACGCGAAAATACAGGTACAAATGAAGCACGAAAAAATACAAATGAAGAACAAGTAAAGCGCAAAAAATAAAGGTGAAGTAGAAGTGAAAGATCTAGAACACGTATAGTACACCTAATTTAGTAAAAATTTTAAGAAATGTTAAAAGAAAACTTAAATATGAATCGCTCAAGAAATGCTCAACCTTTAAAACTAAAAAATTTTGAAAAAAATATTAATGTTTTTCTTATATATAAAAAGATAAAACAAATTATCAAAATAAAACAAAAAAGTACTACCTTTGTAAAACTTTATTTGGTAAAGAGCAAGGCCCTTGGGATGGAGCTCCATTCATTATATGGTTAGCAATAAGACGAACATCTTGATGAAAATGATGACACGCCAAAGTTAACTCCCATAAGCACGAACTTTCTGCATTACTGTGTTCTGGATCAGAAATATCTGGTTGAAATGAACCGCTGCCAAAAGATTCATTATCCAAAAGAAAATCGCACTTTGTGTGTAACTATGGTAAGTTAGTAAGATAAAATGTTAGTTGACAAAGAAATTTATTATATGAACATTATACACAGATGTTACAAACAACAATGTTGTATTAAACTTGTCAAATTAACTAGTCTAAAATGGAATGTATGTAAATATGTATGTATGCATGATAGACTGTTACTTAAAACTAATAAACTGTTTACTTGATTTTCAGCAATAATGTATAGAAGCTGTCTGAAGAATAAAATAAAAAGTTTTGTGTCTGACTAAAGGATAACAAACTTAGGATCGAAAATACCGTTCAACTTAATTAGTAAAAAATGTTTCAAATTTTAAGTCAGATTTCTGCAAACCGGTATTATAAACCATATAAACCTTTAACATGATGTTGTGAATTCAATACTCATTACAAAAAAATCGAAAAATTCCATTAGAAGTAACCTTCTTAAAAAAATAAACTTGTTATTTTGACTTTATTTAACTTATGTTACATCACTTTTATTACAATGCAATTGTTAAATTTCTACCGAAATCAGCTCATTTCTCTGCAACAAATCGGTGAGTTGATAATTTACAGAAAATCAGTTAATTACTTGTGGCAAATAAAAAGTAACGAATCCATATTGTCATTAGTAAGCTCAGTTAAACTATGTGAAGCTATCACATATTATATATCAGCTGAAGGGTTAGCAAATTGTTTGTATTTCTTTATATTAAACGCCATTTGCTTTTCTTATTTATGGCGTACAAGGTAATTTTAGTCAATTTCTGAGGCCAAATCTTTTTTTTCATCACTTGCTAAACTTATAAGTAAACCTTATAATGAAAATTTTTTTCGTTTTTTTTTTCCAATGCTTAACTAACGTTTAGAATAGAAAAAGCTGGCTCAAAATATTGTTTTTTTTTTTTATCAAGACTTGAAAGTAGAAAAAAGAGGCCTAAATCAAATCCCAGTTAGAATGTTATGTCAGAGCATTTATAAAAATTCAATTACTTTTTAAAAGTTGGTTCTCAAAGAGTATGCAAGTATGCAAGAAATTTTTTTTAGAAGTAACTTAGGTGAGACAATAGATTAAGAAATGATTATTTAAGAAATTAGATGAAGAAATGTTTCTTTGCAAAATATTGCAAAGAAACATTTCAAAGGTAAAGAATAGGGGAGATAGAAAAAGCCATTTGAGTTGTACTAATTGTAAAACTAAAATAAAGTAATTTTTTTAATGTTTCTATTTTTTAAAGTTTTAACATAACCAATAACACCAAATAATCTAAGACATAAAAGCATCAAGAAATATGTTCAAGTTTTGAATGTAAAATTGTGTTCCAATTCAAAATATATTCCATTATATTTTTATAATTCCATATATTTAAAATATTGTCCATTTAGTTCATTTTGGAATTAAAAAAAAAAGAAAAAAATACAGTCTCAGTATATTTTTATAGTATGATAATTTTATTCACTAAAACTAGTTTTGTCTTTTAACTATATAATTCAATAACATTTTTTTAAATTTGTTAAAATCATAAATATTTATTTTTCTTAATTCCATATTTATGCGACATCACGTTTTAAATATTAGCTCTTATAGTACTGTAGAATTTATGTTTAACATGGAAAAAATTAATATAGAGACATATTATATATCATTAGAAAGATAATTTTGTCAGCTTTTTAATGGTGTATCTTGTCAAGTTTTTTGATTTGAGCAAAAAAAATGGCAGATGAAATGGTGAATAGAGGATTTCTGCTAACCTGAGCAATTTTTGTAAAAAACACGGATTGCGACGCCGGTATTTACCTGGGCAAGGAGGAAAAATGTTTCTTTTATATATATTTATAATTTATATTACATTTTATGCCTAATTTTTAAAATTTAAAAAAAATGTTTCCTAGGACGCTCTCCCCCCCCCCCCCCACCCCCGATTTACAGCGATCCTCATTCAAATAACCCAACATTTATAAGAAAGTACAAAATAATCTGACACCATATATATTTTTTAAATTATATATAAATACATTTTTAATATAAAAATAATCTTTCATATCTCAAAAGCATCTAGAAAATGTCTTTCTTCCTCTTCAATGTCTTCTTCTGGAATATTAATATTACTGTTAGTGCATGTCACTCTTGTCACACGCCATGGCACTCTTTACAAGATGATGTACAATTTAATCCAGCTTTTCGACAAGTACATTTATTTCCACACGAACCTTTACAGTCACATCTGATAATGTTCAAAATAACTTGAGGACCTGCTTCTATATCTGTCATAATTGGTGCATACATTTGATTTTGTATTACCCATCCCCAACTCAATGGATCTAAATCAACGTCACTCAAATTTCTCCATACTTTCATTTGGTGATAAACTCTGAGTCCATGATAATATGCAGCTCTTGGTGATGGTGGTAATAGAGCAGGATCAATACTTGCACGATCAGATGCCACTATTTCATCATATTTATGTTTCCTGATCTGTTGTAGATTGATTTCAATTCATTTGAATTTTTTAACTTCGTAAAAATTGTGGTTTTGCCGAAGTTATGGATAGCTGATGTTGTGTCACACCCAGTGAATGCGTGTGCAAATAATACATAATTTAAAAGAGTATCATCACTTGTATTTACAACATTCTGAATTTTAAAACATACTTTTTGATCTGTAGCCTTATTTCGTGTCAACGTTTTTAAAAAAATGCCTTGAGGTTGTGCTCCAGTATGTACATGATGTATTATTAGACATAAAATATCAGTGTCATCCAAATAAATTGTGACTGACTCAACGTTGTTAATCTCAAGTGCTAGCTTAACAATATTTGTGTCTGCATCACTGGGACAACAAATAACATTAAAACCATTGTTTTGTAACTTCAATGCTAAAAGTCTGACAAAATCACTTTTGTTTTTGTAATTACTTAGGAAAATACTTCTTTCTGCTGGGCATGGATTGAGATCATTGATTTCAACTGTTTGTGATATCTTACCAGATCACTTTTGATGGATACTATCTTTAGTGGACGACTGGTAACCATCAAAAATGATCGTGTCAAGCTGTAAGTGTTGAGCAAAATTAATGTATTTTTGATAAATTTCACTAAATAACTCATTTTTTTTCCAATTGCAACACCACAATAATGCGCCCCCATCAGCAATCTTGGTTGATACAGGTTCTTTTACTGGTGATACATTATTGAGTATGAATGTTTTCAATGTTGACTTTTGTGCGGATCTCATGACACCTCCTTTAAATAAGGATGTTGGATATGGTGATAACTCATATTGAAAGTAAGTCTCCACTTCATTCTCTGACTTTCTTTCAACAACAACAATCAATCTTAGAAAAAGTGTTAATGGGTCGATTGTAACAATTTCGTCTTGAATAGATACGCAGGAGTATAAGCTCTGGAGTGTTGTTATTTGATTTTTTTTGTTTGAAAGAGTAATTTGTGTAGGTTTTACCATTTAGCTCTTTGTGTATTGATGCTCCTATCTCTTCTGATCGATCACAGGTAATAATTTTCTAATAAACTCTTGGACCACAGTTACGTATTGTACATAATGCAACCATAAAGATGATGTTCGTGAGTTTAATGAAAGATAATCTTTTTTCTCTGTAAATGAGTTTAGCAATCTAACCGCCAGATCATTATTTTCTTGAACACAAGGGTCTTCTGAATCATACATTTCTAAAATATTTTTCTGCTCACTATCATTCAAGTTGTCCCAAAAATCCTTTAATATCAGTGAATTTATTGCTGATGCACATAAAAAATGGCCTCGTATAGCACATGAAAATGCTTTTCCTGATTGCATGTGTCCTACTGTTAAAGGGGCATAGACTGTTTCAAGAGCGCTTCTCAAACCACTTCCTTCCATCATACATCCAATTGAACCTAGAAAACTCATAAGTTGATGGAAACCTCTAAGATGAACAAATATATTTAAGTTTTTTGTAGAGACTATTTCATATGCTTTTATGTAAAGCTGCTGATCAAATGTTATGGATGGCATTGTAATATTCACTTTTTTGGAGTGATCAATGATGGAGTAAAGTAGTGAATATAGGGCTGTCAAATTAGTAGCGTGTAAATCAATCACAGGTAGTATATCAATGTTAGATTTATGTTTTACAATATTATTTGTTGCAGAACTCATGTAGCCAGACCAACTTGGGCATGGATTTTTGAAAAGGTAGCCAATGTTCCATAGAAGATCAATAAAACGAGCTTGAATTTTTTCCTAAAATTAAATAAAACAATTAGTTTTCAAACTTGGTAGAAGTAAATACTTTTTTAAATTGTAATATGCATAACAAACCTGAATGACTGGTTTGAATATTGTTTTTGTTAATGAAGGTATGTCAGTATGTAGTACTGCCTAATCTTTATCCCATCGTTTGACTTGATATTTGACCATAGTTACTTTTTATCTCTAGGAATTTTATTTCTTTTGAACGAAACGTCTGTGAATTTTCCATTTGCAATTGCAATTCACCCAAGTCCATGGTGCGCATTTTTTCCATCAACAGTAGCAATGTCATGGTCTGTGTTGTCAGCTACAAATTGAAGAAATGAGGTTCCCTCTCCAGAGATGATTTCGTCGATAGTATCATGCTTTACAACATTCTGTTTGTAACGGATAACCTTAAAAAAATTACATAAACATCGGTATTGTCCGGATTCTGGGGATTCTGATAAAAGATACTTAATAAAATGAAACATATCTCGTCATTACTAACACCAAATCCTAATTTAGATAGCAGTATGTTCAGCCATTTTGATGAAAGATGGTTATCGACAGCAACGCTTAGTCCAAACTGTAAAATAAGGCTTGTGATATTGAAACCTGTTTTAAAGGTGCCTGAACTAGTTCATTAACAAATGCTTTTAATAATTGAGATATATGGGTTCCTTCAATGTTTAGGATGTCCTCTTTGAAAGGATATACGTTTGAATTGTGGTCATGATTCTTTATGGCATTTTTCAAAAGTTTTGCAGCTGTTATAACAACACGCTCTCTCTCCTCGTTTACATTTGTGCTTTTTTCTTGGTACCATTTTTCACATAAAATGTCTCTAAAATTGTCCAATAGAATTATATTGCTTCTGCCTTCTCTTTTGACAAAGCGTAAAGACTCACCGTACACTTCTTTTAATTTCATTTTGGTCATTTTTATTGAATAAACATCATCACTGATTGACATCATTTTCGAATGAAATTCTGATAACGTGTACAACTCTATGTCCCTTTCTAACGATTCACATATAATATTGAATGATGTCATTTTGTTACTGCAAGTAGGACATCCAGATGTAAAATATTTTGGTAAAGGGTTCTCGAAGCTGGCTCTACATGATACGTGGTATCTGCCTTCCGCTGCTACTAGATCATTCACACTGATTAAACGTGCTTCTATAGTTTTAGCAAGTTGATCTTCTCTATTGCGACATATTTCCATGGTGGAAGAATATATGGCTGCTTTTTTTGTACGTACTTCTTCAAATGTTGCAATTTGGATTTTTTCTGTCATAGATACAATCACCGCCACAATAAAAACACTGTGTTTTGAAATCAAATAGTTCCATTTTGGTTCTAGTAATACGCTCTGTCTCGATTTTCATTGATCATTTTCGAGAGCGATTTTTTTAAAAATTTCTACATGATAAATGGATATAAGTGTTTGCTTTTGTTCTTTTGTTCAGTTTGAGCTTATCAACTAAAGTATCTAAATTAAGCTTCATAGTATGCTCTATAATTGCAGTCAAGGGATGTTTTTTCTTGCTTGAATCAGAATACTTCGAACCTACATGATTTAAAGGATCATGCATTCTTACACCTTCTCCGCATTTAACACATAACATTATTCCGTTTGATATATCAATTTTAATTTCATCTTCCATTATTATCTTATCTTTAAATAAAAAGACAGTCAACTATACAAAATGTTTTTTTTATATCTAATTCAATATTTAATTCACAGCTGTTTCAATCACATTGAAAATATAAGTAATTTTTAAATAATAGCTACGACTTCAAAGAGAAGCTCATTTTTATAATAAAATGAATACTTAAGCTTTTAGAAATATTTAATTCCTTTTGTTCAGTCATTCAATAACATGATGGCAATTGAACTTTTTTAAATAATTAAGCTATGATATTGAAGAACACTGTTTTATATTTAGTTAAATTTTTAAATAAAATGAAAAAACCTACATTTACATTTTGATCCACCATTTTTTTTGCTCAATTCCAAAAAAGTGACAAGGTACACCATTAGAAAGCAGATAAAATTATCTTTCTAATGATATATAATGTCTCTATAAATTTTTTTTCTAGGTTTCACAATTTTTTGGCCAAATTTTACAGTACTATTAATATTGTAATAATATTAGGATATAATGCAGATGCTAAGCCAAATATTATGGCATGAGCAATATAGGTCTAACTGTTTTATTTGTTAGTTTACTGATGTAAGCAGAAGTAAAAGTAAATAGAGAAAGGTTGTTTTAAAGTTTCTATTCTCATAAAATGAAATTTTTAAATTTGCTGTAAAATTTGTTTATTTGTTTTTCTAAATAGAAAAAAATAACAAATCAATAACTAAAAATATTATTCAAATTTTTTCAGCAACTTTGAAACAAAGCTGAACAATTTTGTTTTATTTGTGATTCCTATACTTTAACAAGACAAAAAATATTATTGAAAGTGAATCAGAGAAGAAACATTGAAAGTGAAATAGATAAAGAAAAAAAGGGTGGCAGCATTCGGAATACTAATAATTTGGAGGAAGTGAAAAGTTTAAGTCACAGATTGTTATTTTTATTTGGTTAACATTTAAATTTTTAATACAAATATATATATATATATATATATATATATATATATATATATATATATATATATATATATATATATATATATATATATATATATATAAATTTGCCATCAGCAATTCGACCGTTGCCATCAGCTATTCAATCTTTGCTGATTGTGAGATTCATTATATCAATATCTTGTTGGGTCATTTAACAAAAAATTATTAGAGTTGCTAGGTTTAAGATTTACTGAAAATTCATTACTGCCAGATATTAGGATATCATTTTATCACAAAAGTGAAAGTAAACTGTTAAAATAGTTTAGTGAAGTGGATAATTTTAATTAATGTAATGATGCTGAGCGTCTGTAGAATACAACAGATGTGAAAAATTACTTTCCTCATGATGTTCATTAACAGTTTAAAACAAAGTGTAAAGTTTGTTCTGTTTCACAACGGAAATAAATTTAGCTTAATACAAATATTATTAAATAATAATAATAATAAATAATAATAATACTAATAATAATAATTCAGTAATATCACCTACATCACATTTTTGGGACTGTGCGAACAAAGCAAAGGCTGGTATTTTCAATAGACCACAGATATAGAACCTTATTAATGATTTAAAATCATTCTCTATGAATGTAAAAGATAGAATTTGCTTTCTGAAATATTTAATAAATTTCTTTGGAAAAGATGACCATTACCAAAAAAAAAAAAAAAAATAAGTTTAGAATAAGAACACAATAGCTATTTTTTTGATAGTGTTTGACAAAAAATTGCTTTAGCCCTCTTCTCCATAGAAAATTAAACAAAATATATTTACTGTAAATATTTAATCCTATATTATTTATTGGTTTTTTAATGTCAACAAGTTTTTATTGACATTATGTTTGTACACAATTAAAAAAAACAACAGTTTTAACTTACAAGTTTTCTTGGCTTAAAAACAGTTTTAGTAAAATCAGCATTTTATGATATTGAAATGATATTTGACATTTAAAGAAGATTTCTCATCATTAAACTGTAATAGTTATGTAAACTATGTTAAAATCCTCAAATGTCAAGACTCATATATAAAGACTTTTTGTTGATGTTGTTGTTGCTGTTGTGATATGCAAAAAACCTATACATTTGTTATACTTTAAATTCTTTCTAAAGTACCTTATCGCCATACTATCTATGCTCAATATCATAAATTTCTCATCACAAATGAAATATATACACCATGTGAATATATCATAAATATATATGTATAATACACAAACTAAAAAATAAAAATTACATAAACAAATAAGACTTTCATAAGCACAAGACTAGCGGACAATTAGTTTTACATTTAATGACATGTTACCTGTAATATATTTCGAACAAGAGCTAAGAAGTCAAGCATTTGTTCTACATTTAAATGAAGCAGCATGGTTGACAAACGCTTGAAAAAACCAAGAACTTGTGGCAATGAAACCTGCAAAATTTAAAAATGTATCTGTAAAAAGAGTAAATAAAGAAATAAAATTATATTTCATATTTATTATAGTAATTTATTACATATTTACTATAGCAATTTATTATATATTTATTGTTTTATAACTTTACTTTTAATATTCTTGTTGCTCAAGTAACATTATAAATCAAAAGACAAATACTATCAAATTTTTTTTCAAAAAAAAAAAAAAAAAAGGAATATTTTCGTGTATTAAAATATGTCCTGAGAATAAAGAAATAAAAAGTCATTATAATAAAATCTTACAACTTATAACAAAATTTAAAATTTTAAATTAGGAAAAGATAAAAAAAAACTTTAAATAATGATTATACATTTTTATTGTAATTCTTTTGTTATTATAATTTTAAAGTCTATAGTTTGTATAAAAGTTTTTTTAAACAAAAAAGTTATTTGTGCTTGATGACACAAACAAAAAGGTTATTTGTGCTTGATGACACAAATAAAAAGGTTATTTGTGCTTGATGACACAAATAAAATGATAACTGCATATCTCAGCCATATGATTATGAAGCGTAAAAAAAAGTAATAACATAATCAAAAACTTTAGTATAACTATTTTAATATTATCAATATTATCAAATAGTAAAAAAAAACAAAAACAAATTTTATGTTAGGTATTATAGTATACCTGCTTCCTTCTTTTTAGTAGCATCATATCTAGACATTCTAGTGCTAAGTGAACATTCTTTTCATCCATATCTAAATAACAAAATAAATTGATAATGATAATATATAAAACTATTAAAGAACAATAAGCAAAATAATACAATACTACATACAAATATATTACGTACAAATGTATATATTACATACAAGAAAGTTTATATAATAAATCATGTTCAAAAATTTCAACTTAAAAATAAAAATAATTTTAACTAACTAACGCAAAAAGTTGTCACAAAAAAAAACTTTTTTATTTTTACTTAAATCTAAAAATTAAATAAAAATTTAGTCTAAAATATCAATATAAAGTATACACTATTCAAATGTTGACCCAAAGCAATAATTATAAAATTTAACAGTTCCTGCTTAATGAAACAGAGATTTCTCTATTATCAGCTCTTCAATAGCTTTATGTAAAATCAAGCAATTTTATTGAGTTGTATGTGACTGAATGATATTCACTAATAATTATTATAAATGAATGATTTTCAAGTTATTTATGTATACTCTTTGATTAATTCTTTTAAAATGACATATGCAGTAATGCAGCTTGATTTAGATTGAATATACACTTGAAGTAAATGTAGACAGGAACTTCATTTGGTTTTTTTATTGTATTTTAGTAAAAAATATTTACATTTCAGTTTTAATTCTATATTAAAATTAAAAATACGTTAAAATCAATATTTAGTCAACCAAGTTATTTATGTATATTCTATAAATATTTACCATACTTTTAAGATCTTCTAAGATTTTTACTTCTAAGATTAACTTAGAAATTAGTAATAGGCAAGTTATAATCATAGGCCGACCATTTCCAAATTGTTAGATTGGCCACTGTCAAGTTATTTTACCATCACAGATCAGCCACTGCTAAGTTAATTTATGATCACAGATTGAATCAAATATCAAATTAAAGGTCACTATCAAATCAAGTTCAAACTCATTCAAACTCATTCAAAGCAAGTGTATTCTGAAGTAGATTTTACATTTCATAGAATATTACATATAGTACAAATGCTAATTTTAAGTAAGCAAATTACTATTTTTAAGTAAACACCAATCAAGATATTTCATGATAACTGATTGGCCACTGGAAAGTTGTTTTATAATCAAAAATCGTCCACTGTCAATTTTTTTTATACCTTGTTATGAAATGAAAAAATAAGGAAAAAAATCTGTAAGATCATCAAAATGTTTATAACAAAAAGTTTAAACAACTTTTTGTATTTAGTAATATAAAATATTTGTTTGACAAACCTAATAATTCTATCAAATTTAAATAAAAAAATAATTATTATATAACTAATATATAATCATAATAACTATTATATAAATATAGATTAAAATTGTATATGTAAGCTTTTCCAGAAAACGCATGCGGTTTTTTATCTTGTATGTCCACACATGAGTATTTTATTTAAGACAACTTAGTCACAGTTGTTTGCAAATTTTTTTATATTAGGGGTTGAAGAAAAAATAAGTTTCAAAAACAAAGAAAGCAAAATTAACAAAATAGGAAATTAAACTAAAACTTAAATAGAAAAAAAATAATAATAATAATTAAAATAATTTATGTACAATTTTTATAACTGTGTTTTTTTTAGAGTGGTCATTTATATCAGTCATAATATTGGATAAGTAGAAGCAGAAAAAAAAAACAGTTTTAAGTCGACAAAAGTATGAAAATCCTATATTTTATTTGTTTTTTTTTTTAAAGAGGAAATCAAAAATGTAAATTGCTACCTGTTTGTAAAATACATTTGTATTATTTTAATATAACAAGTATATATTGTCCTATATTTTTATGTATAACTTTTTTTATTATAAATATATATTTATTTGTTCAGTAGTATACGCACATTTAGCATATTTGGATAAAGCTTCATTCAGGGAATGTCTGTGGATCATGCCATGCAGCTGTACTTTTTTTTTAATTACGGCTAGTCGTATATTTACTTTGTAACCATTAATCTTTTCTTTTTTGTAATCTTTTTGTTGTATGTTTTTGAATTATACACATCACTCCACATTCAGATTTCTCATACCATTTAAGCCTTTAAGCATATTTACTAAAAAAGGCATACACATTTATACATAAGTATATGACATGAAATTTCAAAACTAATCAAATACTAGTATTTATTGAAATATTGTTATATATTATTAGAAAGATTAGAGTTTTTCTTAACTTATAATTTATAACTGTTAATTCTTATTAAAATTTCTAAAACTTATAAAACAACAGTAAGCTCTTAAAAATGAGAATAAGGATTATTAGGAGAAAAAGACGTTTGCGAGCATTAGAAGGGCATTCTTTAAAATATTCTTTAAAATATTTATGACACACTTTAAAATATTCAAAATCTAAGTTTTTTTTTAATTTTTTAAAGTAAAATATTTTATATATTTTTTTCAAAATTGTATATATACTTATATTTTATATATAAACTTATATTTTAAATATACTTTTCAAAATTTTTAAATATCATAACATAAATTTAAACGTTATTAATGTTCAAATGTTTATTATAACACGCCATCCCCCAACTACAATCTGTTGAGATTGTTGGGTGTTTTTTTTCATAAAATTTGGCAAGTAAGGTAGCAAGCAAAAAGGCTTTTGCAGAATTCTGAACATATTAGAAAAAAGGCATACATTCAATACATACCTGATGTACAAACAACAAGGAAGTTTTAAACAACAAAATCATTATAAACAAAATTTTGTAAAATAGATTTCCGCACAGAATTAAAATTAAACTACTCTAGTACCCAAACAAAATCTACAAATCTACAAACTTCTAAAAAAAAAAAAAAAATACAACAAAACATGTTTATACCATGCCACGCTTAAAAATGCTGAAAAACGTGTGGCACAAAATTTGGGCGAAGAAGTTCTATTAAGGAGGGATTTATGCGTATCTAACATAGTTCTTAAGCTTTAATTAGGCCATGTTGTTTACACATTTTTCACATAGCCTTAATTGTTTCATATTACATTTTTATTTCTGTAGATTTCTTATCTCCAATCTTTTAGCACTTTATAATTTTAAATACCTGTTGCTTTTTAACATTTGGCTCTGTGCATTTAGTTCTACCGGTCCCCTTCTTTTTGGTCTAATATGTTATTAGTGAACAATTATTATTAATTGTTATGCAATTATTGATAATAATGTTAATAATTTTATATGTATATTTCAGCAACAATATAGCAAATCAAAAGGGAGGGGTTGGGTAGAAAAATAAATAATAAATTTGGGAAAATTTCCTGTATAAAATATCTAAACATTTGGATATATAGATATATCCAAATAAACTAAATGTGAGTACACAGAGTTACAAATAAAGATAATTATATAATAAAAGTAACATACATAAAATATTCATAAAAGTAAAAAGCATGCATTACATAGACATTTTCATATAGGGACAATATTTACATTATCGTTACCTTAAAATTATACAAATATATTTTACAAACAGATAGTAATTTATGTTTTTACTTTCATTAAAAAGATAAAAATAAAATATAGGAAAACCATTCTTTTTATAATCAACTTAAAACTGTTTTTTTTTTTTTTTTTTTGCTTTGCCTTATTCAATTTTGTTGCTGTAAGTAACAACCACTATAAAGAAATAAAAATAAAAACAGTATACAAATTATTAAAACTATTAATTTTTCTTTTTGTATTTAAATATATTTTAACTTCATATTTTGTTAGTTTTGCTTTCTTTGTTTTTGAAACTTATTTTCTCCTCAACACCTAATATAAAAAAAATTGGAAACGACAGCGACCAAGTTGTCTAAAACAAAATACTCATGCATGGACATACAAGATGAAAAATTGCGTGCATTTCCTGGGAAGACATATAAGTTTATTACTTGATAATATATTAAACTATTAAAATTTTAATTCTCAAAATAACCATAAAAACTATCAAAAATATTAGCAATAAGTGACCCATTGGGTCAATATTAATGCTAATATTATACTTTATTTTTAATAGTTAATATTAGCATTAATATTAATAATATTAGCATTAATATTATACTATATTTTTAATAGTTGTTAGATGAAAAATTATACTATATTTTTAAATATTATACTATATTTTTTAAATATTATACTATATTTTTAATAGTTGGGTCACAAAATGGGTCATGGTACCTATATGGTAGTGACTGCATAAAAGGTCTGTCTATGCTGCACAATACCATTTTTTATTATAACTGAATGTCCTTGATGTTGACTTGTTGATATTTGCTGTTTTTAGATTAATATTGTTACTAGAAAATATAACTAGAGAACATAAATACCAAAAATCTTTGAATTATAACTAGAGAATATAACGTACTGAATATCTTTGAAATATAACTAGAGAATATAACGTACTGAATATCTTTCAAATATAACTAGAGAATATAACAGAATATTTTTGAAATATGTGAATCCTCTATTGTAAAACTATTTATCAACCAAATATATTGTAAAAAATTTAGGGTTTTACTTTTTTAGTCATAATAAACACTACGGTTTTACTTTATTTAGTCATAGTAGACACAATTTTTAACTTGTTGTAGTAAAGTGTGTAATAAGTGGGTCCCGGCTAAAAATGAGACTTTTTGCAAACCCAGCCCTAGCCCCAGCAAAATTATAAGATTTAGCAGGGGTTGATAGCTGGGGCTAGATAAATAAAATTATAATACTTTTTGTATTATAATTTTATATTTACATTTGCAATTTTCACGTACTGGCATATACTTCTATATTTTACTTTCAACAAGATTGCAATCAACCACTATTAAGTTATGAGTTACTTTAAAATAGAGGACAGGTTAAAATACTAGAAAATGGTTAACTGAAGACTTAAAATGTTGTAAGATGTATTAAAAAGGAAAATACAAAGATGGGGAAGAATTAAAAAGCTTTTTTGACGTGCAGAAACATTAAGTAAATAAAAATTTTTATAGCATGAAGTGACAGATTCAGTAAAAGGATGCAACTTGTTGAATAAGAAGCCAAGTAAGAATGAGTTTTGGTTTATCATAATAGTAATGATAGCTCGTTTGAACATTGACTACCAATAGCAATATTGCAATATTTTTTTTGGAGGAAGTTCTGTTGCTTCAAAAAATTTAAATTCACAAACCACTGCAAGCCTTAGGCTGTTACAATAGAGAGATCAGATTAAAAACTGATAGTTGTTCTAAACAATCAAAAAGCGAAGATTTTTGTCAAGACAAGAGTCTTGACAAAAAATCTTGTCTATCTTATCTTATTTTCATGAAGTTAGTTAGAGAGGTCAAAGTGAGTTTTGAAAAATTGGAACCACTTATTTAACACTTTTTAAAAAATTAGCAAAAATTGAAGAGAATTCTGGAGAACACTTTTTTAATCTTGTCTAGAGCACAAACAATAGAAGTGTTCAATTCAGAATTAACTTTAGCATTAGAAACCATAATGATTTTAATGTTTAACAATGGGTTACCCTGTTTAACTGACAGGAAGTAAGATATTTTTGCAAAAAAATTCTGCCTTATTCTGGGGAGAAATACAAAATCAGACCCATGAATTAGAAATTAAACGTTAGACTTACTTTAGTTAATGACACTGTTGAAGACTTAACAATAGTCTCTAGATCCTAACAGCTGAGATAAGACTTAAGATTTAGTAAACTTAGAATAACAGAGCTAAATATGAGAAAAGACCTTTTCACATCGGCTTCATGGAATAATAATAGGACATTAGTTTATAAGAGAGATGCTCTTGTAAAAAAGATGAAAAAAATGATTACTGTTTAATAAAGCAACTGCTCAAGATAGTAAAAATTGTGGAGTAGAATAAGGTTTGACTTAACATTAAAGAAAAGGAATAGAAGCTTACAAGCTTTTATTCCAGAAGGAATAAAAGCTTCCAAGATGTGCTTTATGCATACATTTTATTGGTATAAACATATATTTTTGCTATTTATTTAGATGCTGGCAAACAATATCCTTTCATATATATATAGACTTTAATATTTATATGGTGTAGTATTTGCCAAAATGGAAAATGATCAGATAAATGTGTGGTGTGACTCTAACATGACAAGAAAAAGAGGCATTGTCTTATGCAGATTAGAAAAAAGCATCTTATTGAACGTTTGTAAGAGAAGATTAAAGTAATTTAGGTATCAGCATGTAGAGAGGTAGAATCTTCGGTAGAAAATAGTAGTGGTAGAATTAAGAAAACTTAAAGAGAGGGCCTTATTTATTGTATGAATGAGGTTTAGCTAAAGAAAGAAAATGCTCTAGATTGTTTATATTAGAGAAACAGCATAAAAAAGGAAAACTAAAGTCTGATGATGATGACGATGATGATGATAAAGATGATGATGATCATGAACTGTAATGAGGATTATGATGATCATGTTGATCATAATGATGTTTACATATGCATATATATATACAAAATATAACATGAATTGTGAATTAAAAAAATATACTTTAGGATGTATAATTGTTTATGAAGCCTCAGTCACAAACCTGGCCCCGGCTATATTTTATTAAACCCAGCCTTGACCCCTGTAAAATATCAACCCTAGTCATTTACTAAACGTGTGTACCCATTTAACATCGAAAAAGAAACTAGCATATTTCAAAATTCCAATTTAATTTTTCAGTCATTTAATTTTAGTTTCAACTTAACACAGGTTTCAATTACATGCTGACAGTTAAAATATACAAAAAAAAAAAAAAAAAAAAAAAATACCATACCTGCCCCAATGAATGGCAAAAGATTATAAAGTTCTGTATAAAAGTTTCGTGGATCAATCACAAGAACATCTCCTAAGCAAATATAAAATCACAAGAACATCTCCTAAGCAAATATAAAATCACAAGAACATCTCCTAAGCAAATATAAATAGACATTATTAAATAAATACAGTTTACAATTATATTAATACTCAGGGTTGTTAAGGAGAGATCCGAACAATTTGCATTTCTTAAAAACAAAACTTTACATTTTTGAACTTCAATTTTTTGTTTTGTCACTTATTTTCGACTATTAATGTTATATATTTTTAAAAAATAGAATTTAATTTTTTCTTATATAATTTTTTATTTTTTTATAAATCTTTTTTTAACCAAAGCATCAAACAAAACAAAGCTACCATTAAAATACATAAAACGCGACGAGGCAGCATCATAAAAACAGCTGAAACAAATGTGTTTAGTGATTACATTCAAAAAAAAGTCTCTTTTATTCGAAAGTAAAAAGACTTCTTGTTTACAGCATTAAAATATTCAATAAATGACTAAAAACCTCTTATTTTATCTATTCGTAAACAGTAAAAACATTACAATCGAAGTTTTCATATTAGTTTTCACTCATAGCAATTTACTACAATAATCTCTTTTTTGTTGTTGGAATAAATTACTAAACAAAAACGTTTCAGCTTTTATATAACTTCTGCCCCATAGTATTAAGGTAAGACTTCAAATTCGTTGATAATTAATTCATTCATTTAAATTAAATCACCAAATATTTGAAAACAAAACAAAACAACGAGCTTCGTAATTAAAAAAACAACAACAATCAAAACGCACATAAAATAAAACAACATTTTTTGAAAGCAATAGGGCCTAAAAGCTATATATTTTTTCGGATCTCTCCTTAACTACATTGAGTATAGCAGTAGTGATACAGAATTACTTTTGATAAAAAATACAAAAGTGGTGCAGAGATGCAGAAGTGATGCATTTGTTAAAAAAAGATAAAAGGTTTGCACAAACACAAAATGTGTCCTATATAAAATCACTTGAGTATAGAAGATACAGTTGAGTGTGGAGTCCTGGTTTTATGTATAAAATAAAGTATTTAAAGATTATTTACAGTTAAGTTTGGGGTTCGGGTTTTATGTATAAAATGAAGTATATACCTATTTACATAGACTGATTGAAAGATCACTTGATTTGACTGACTGAAGGATCAAGATTGCATTTCAAATTCAAAATTTTCTGACATTTATTATTAAAAACAAAAAATTAAAAAAAACTAAAAAGAAGTTCATAAACCTTGGCCAGACAGTATTTTAAAAGCAGTTGAAATACAATGCAAACGCTCACTTATTCCTAAATTCTAAAGAAAAAAAAGAGTAAATAATATTTTAGAAACAAATAGCTACATAATAATTTATTTATTAACATTCAATCTATCTTCACTGAATCTGTCCTAACCTACATTCGGGCAGGGATCCTGATTTACCAATTAGCATCCCTGTCTGAGCATCCATAATAGTAGTTAGAAAGAGCTATAAGTTTAGCAAGTAATCATTGTGGGCTATCAAGTAATTTGATGTTGTTTCAGTAAGAGGAGTCATTACTTCAAAATATTGTTAAATAATCAAAATTATTTATTTGAAAAATCTTTGTACTTCACAGAAATTCATCACATGGTTTGTTCATTAGAGCATAACAAAATATTTTGTATGCATAAAAGCTACCATAGGAACAGTTCATCAAAAATCAAGTATCTTAAATACTCTCTGCAATCTATTTGAAATTTGTTCAGCTGAAATCATTGAACACTTGCCCAGTGTTTTTTTGTATGCTATATTTGCTGCATTTTTAAAAACCTTGACAAACAAAGCTGAAGCAAGTGAAAAAAATTGAACCCCAGGAGGTAGTATGGATCAAACTTGGCACTTCTAAACGACACTTATAAATTAAAAAACATATTAGTTTTATGCTTTTATTTTCTCTGGTTTATTCTTTATTTATTTTATTATTCGCTAAGTTTGTTTCTTTTTTCAGTTTATGGTATGTTTATTTTTCATTTTCTCTTTAAGTTGGTTTGGTATTTTCAACGCATATGCTAATTATCAATATATGCAAAAAACCATGACCAAGTTGTCATAAAAATTGCATGCATTGTCATATAAGAAGTGCAACTGCACAGGTCTCTTGAAAAGGCTTGATATATATATATATATATATACACAAACACATATATATTTGTGCTAATGTCGGCTCTCAACCCCTAAATAAAATAACACTAAATATAAAAATTTTTTTAATACAAAGTATTTTTAGTGGTCGCTCTAAAACACTAAAACATCAGACAGGTCCCTTTTTAATGTCTTTTTTTTTAGTTGACTCATCTGATAATTTTGGGTCTTGACCCAACATAATATACTTTTGAAGAACTTTTTAGTTTATACTAGGGACCTATTTGGCATATATATATATATATATATATATATATATATATATATATATATATATATATATATATATATATATATATATATATATATATATATATATATATATATATATATATATATATATATATATATATATATGTATATACATATATATATAAATATATATAATCTATAATATATAATCTATATATATATATATATATATATATATATATATATATATATATATATATATATATATATATATATATATATATATATATATAAATATATCTAAATATATGTATATATATATATATATATATATATATATATATATATATATATATATATATATATGTATATATATATATATATATATATATATATATATATATATATATATATATATATATATATATATATATATATATATATATATATATATATATATATATACATATTATATATGCATTTCATTTGGAACAACCTTCACAATACTGTCCTCACGGTCAACTTAGAGATGTAACTTTATTAAACAAGTCTAGTTTAAAACTTTCTAAATAAATAAATAAAACTAGACAATTTACATATAAACAACTTACCTCTTTTAATAATAAACTCTGTAAACAATTCATGAGATCATCAAAAAACTCAATATTAATAAGATGGGCAAATTTTGACAAGCCTCGCAGTACAACACTCAGAAGATTTAAATTATTACCATGCTTTAGTATGCGAAAGTATGTAACAAAAACAAACTTGATAAGTTCTGTTTGCTGAAAATAGAAAGATCAAATACCACTAAGATATATAAATAACTTCTAATTTCCACCAACATAAAATTTAATAAAACATACAGCTTTTTGTATTTTGTCTTCACTCTCTACTGCTTCAGCTTCTTGTAATTCTTTGTTTAACTTATCTTCCACTTTTTTTCTCTAATATGTATGTATTTATATATATATATATATAGAGTAATATGTATGTATATATGTATGTATGTATGTATGTATGTATGTATGTATGTATGTATGTATGTATGTATGTATGTATATAAATATATATATATATATATATATATATATATATATATATATATATATATATATATATATATATATATATATATATATATATATATATATATATATATTACAAATAAATAAATAAAATATAATATTGGAACAATTGTATTGGAAACATTAGATAATATATATATATATATATATATATATATATATATATATATATATATATATATATATATATATATATAAAATCTTATGTTTCCAATTGTTCAAACGTGTAACTGCTGGCAACCTTCACAATATCCTTTGCAAGGTATGTGTCTTAGCAAAAATATAGTGATTTAAATTATATTGGTTTAACAGAGCACACCTTTAATGATCGCTGGTACAAACATAAAAACTCCTTTCAATACAAAAGTATAGCTTATACCCCAGAACTTTCTAAATGTATCTGGGAAATGAAATAAAAAGGGATTTTCAAATCCTATTCTTACGTGGAAGATTATTGATAGGACAGAACCATTTAAACCTGGAAGAATGTTATGTAACCTTTGTTTAACTTAAAAATACCATATCATCTTTGAAACTATTAAATAAACCAAATGAATTAATATCAAAATGTTGCCACAAAAACAAATTTGGTTTCTGTAACTTTAACATCATTTTACCTAACATTGTATTGTATTTTTGTATATAATTTTTATTGTTAAGGTTATTTGTAACGTCTGATGATTACATAAAGCGTGAAACTCTGAGTTATGTTTCAAATTAATTGTACTACTATTCTTATACAATATATATATATATATATATATATATATATATATATATATATATATATATATATATATATATATAATACTTATGTTATACATATATATAAAAACGGGCAATTCCATTTTTAACATAAGTTACACATGCAACAACTTTATCAAGTATTTGTCTATTAAATTAAACTGTTAGCTATTTTGTATGAAAGCTGTTAGTCGAAAGAATAAAATAACCTGAAAAGTTTCGAGTCAGGCAAAAAGAGGACAAATTTATTACTGAAAATGCCACTTAACTTACATTTTACAGAAAACAAGGTAAAAAAATTGCTTCAACTTTTAGGTCAGATTTCTGCGAATCAGTAAAGCGATTTGTATTAGAAACTTTCACAAGATGTTGAGAATTCTATACCAATTTGAAAAATATATAAAAATTGGTGAAAATAAAATGAGGTAAAAATAAACTTGTTTTGATACTTACACCACTTATTACTTAATTACCAAGCTTATTGTGGATTTTTTATATTTATTATTAAGAGTTAGAGTTATTAAACAAAAGAATTGCAATAGTATTGAGCTCATTTATTAAAAACAATTAACAAAGGAAAATATGGTGGCACTCTTCCTGCGTAATTTTTCATAATATTTATGAAAGTTATCAAATCAAAAACATTTTTTGCGCAAGATTAAGTACAACTTTAAAAAATTGTTTTAGTTTTACAACTTATTAAAGTCAAATTAGAAAATCTTTAGTTTGTCGAAGTTTTTACATTCACTTATGTTTATGTGTATTGCCTTATTTTTATTAGGTTGAATTTTCAAAATGCTGCAATAAAACGCCATTGATGAAAATACTGAAATAGGGAGTTGTGGGGGCTTATTACATACATCGAATGAAGGTTTTGAATGAAGATATAAACAACTTACCTAATTACCTAAGTATTTTATTATGGAAAAAAAATTTCTTATTTCTATTGATTTAAAAAAAATGTTATTTCTTTTTGTTGCTTTTTTGATTTGATTTTTATTTTTGTCAAAAAAACTGCTTGGATTTAGGCCAGCATTTTTAAACTTGAGAGTGCTTAATATATTATAACAATTTTATTTCATTTCATTAGCAAACCTTTATTATTAAATTTTTATATGACTTGCTCATAAAAATTTGTTAATTCTACAGCATGTATACTTTGAGGTATATGTCAGAGTTAAATTTTATTAGTTTTTTCAAGTGCTGTGGGCAACAAAAATAATTTATATTCTCCAAGTTACCACATATAATAAATTACATTTTATAATTTGTTCAACTTTTAATGGTGGTAAATCAGTTTAAAATATATTAACTGCGCAAGCACAAAGTTTTTCAAGCAAGAAAATCAAATTCTAGTAAACTATAAAATTACAATGAAAAGAAATTTAAAAGAAAATCTTTTTTTACCCAAGATTGAGGGGATCATTAAAGTCAAGGACGCAAATTTCTTAATTTTTAAATTGGTATTACAACCCTTGCTCAATCCTCTGGAGCAAGAACCTTGACAAACAAGGTCGCTGTGCAAAAAACTAAATGAGCATAGAATGTCAGAAATATAACTTGACTCAACTTTCATATCTATATTACTAATTTCATATCTATATTACTAAAAGATAAATTATGCTTTAAGTGTATTTAAAAACATTGTAATGAAATCTAATTTTCAAACAACATTAAAATGCAGTAACACAAAATAATTACAATGAATAAGATATAATTATATTAAAAATCGTAAATAGATCCTAAATTTGTTTTAAAAACACCATAAATTTTTTAAAGCTTTTATACTGGGTTAATTATAAGCACTTTTATAATGAAATTTTTTTTTTTAACTTGCATTTAAAACAAATAATTGTTGAATCTCAACAATTATTTTATCTCAACAATCTCAAATTTATCTCAAAAAGTGATAAGTTGGCACTACTAAACCCATGTATTTTTAAACTCCTATAACAAAGAGGAACAAGATGCTTTTAAACTAAATTGTGCTAACTTAGTACTTTTAAAGAAAAAAAGTAAAAGAATGACATTACCACTTTAGTTTAAATTTTTGTAAAATATTTTTAAAAATATTAATGCAAATAGTTTTACATTATTTTGTAAATGTTTTTAAAAGGGGAAGATGTGTTCAGTAAAATGTTAAGAAATTAAAAAAAGGATTAAGACCAATTTTTGACTAACACTTCCATTCCCCCCAGCCCTCTTTTTATTGAACTTTTTTTGACCAAATTTAATCTAGTTAGTACAACCATTAATAAAAAAATATATTGCAGTATTGAAATCTGTTTTAAAATGAATGAATTGCAATTGTCACTTCCGATAAGTGACATTTGCACAAAAAACAATGGTTTGTTGTCAATTAATGTAAAATGAACATGAAATTAAATTAAATTAAATTTAAAACAATTTTAACATAAAGCACAATTTTTTATTCCTCAACACAGTTAGAGAAATTTTTAATAATATATAATAATAAACTTTTTAAACAAAAACAATAGTAATTTTTATAATGATGGCTTTTGAAGTGCTAGCTGTTTTGTACAATGAGAGACCTGTAAGTATTCAAAACTTTGGTAGACAATGGAAATTAAAAAATGCAAAGATAAGCTGATTTTAAAAAACAGTAAAAAAATCAACTGAAATAAGTCAACAGAATGCAAAATATACAAAGACGATATGACTATAAGATGGTAACTTGAGCCATGTACCTTATTAAATAAATTTTGTCTTACTGTTTCAAAATTCATTTTCTCCTTAGATTTTGTATTAGATGAAGAAAAAACTAGCTCAACTTATAAAGTTATAAAACTTAACAACTTATAAAGCACAAACTTATAACTAACATATTAGGCACAAAATATTAACAAATAGCTCAACTAACTTTTAAAGCTTAAAATAAATTAACAAATAATAATAATAACAAATATCAAATTTAATAACTCAAAACTTCAAAAGGTCAATTCATAGGTAGAGCGAGATAGGCGAGGTAGGTAGAGAGTTATTTGCATTCTGCAAAAAAATAATTATAAATAGCAAACTTGGTAACAAAAATAAACATGACAAAATTATCATGATAAATAAAGAAAAAAATGAAAAAATAACTTTCTCTGGACTAGGGATGGCAAAAATTCCTAACTTTTCAATCCCAGGATTTCGAGATTGAGAAATTTGTCTGTGGGAAATCCTGGGATTGAACAGAAAAAAATGCAAATGTAGAAATTGAAGCATGATCAGAACTAACTTTTAAGTACCAACACTTAAAAATGATTAACTTAATGATAATATAACTAAAATATTTCATTAATGAACCTAAGTAATTTAAACTATAAAACAATACCTTAAAATGATAACACATTTATCATTATCTTTATTTATCAGGTTTATCCAAGTTTTTTATTTTAAGTACTTGTATTTGGTACAAAAACTTCTGGGATTTTCGATGAGGTACCCTAGCCATTATAAAGATAATAAACTAAGCTACCTAATGGTGTTCTTCTTTCTTTAACTTGGTGACTCAAAGTGTCATACAATTGTTTTCCAATTTTAGATTGTCGTTTTCCAAGAATATATGGAAATAAAAGTGAAACTCACACAATTGGAATTAAAATGAAAAAGAAAACTTTATATTAGGGTTTACCTTCAATTAAATAAATTATGATTTACCTTCTTTTAAATAAAGTAAGGTATACCTTCTATTAAATAAATTAAGGTATACCTTCCATTAAATAAATGAAGGTATACCTTCTATTAAATAAATGAAGGTATACCTTCTATTAAATAAATGAAGGTATACCTTCTATTAAATAAATGAAGGTCTACCTTCTATTAAATAAATGAAGGTATTATGTATTTATATTACCTTCATTTATTTAATAGAAGATAGACCTTTTAACATTTTAACAAAAGGTATACCTTTATTTATATATTCTACTATATAAATGAAGGTATACCTTCTGTTAAAAATTTTTTCTCTACTATCAGCAAGCACTAAAATTTCATTTATTTTTATATTAGTTTTAATATTATGCTGTATACATTTTTAAAAATGTTTAACTATATATTTAGCAGATAAACAATGTTTTGAGTTTTTTTTTTTCAATAAAAGACAAAAAGAGAGAGAATAAAAGGAAAACATTGCAAAGAGAATAAACAGAAATACCGATACCAAATACTTCATTTACATTTTATGATGTACAAAGTACTTCATTTACATTTTATGATGTAAAAATTACTTTATCACAAATTAAGCTTAAACTTTTTTACTTTTTTTAATGACAAACCCAAAATTGCAGAAACTTTATAATTTCCTGACATTTTGACATTCCAGGATTGTCATCTGGGCTTTGGACTGTACAGAAATATCTTTTATTTAAACTATAACATTTGACTGAAAAAATATCTTAGAATCTTTTTTTAGATCTTTAGTTGTAGCTAAAAGGAGAAATAATAAAAGGAGGTAATAAAGGAGATAATGATACACTTTGAAGGTAATAAAATAATAAACAAAATAAGACCTGAATCAAGTTAATAAGATTAACCATTTTTAACTTATAAAGAAATTCCATAAATTTATTCAAAAAATCACAATTTTTCAAGTCTTTAACATCAACAAGACACATGTAAGCATTGTCTGATTGAGCGAAAACTACTTTAGTTAAGCTAGGAAAAATTATTTGATTTAAGATTTTGATAAACGCTTATGTTGCTAAAAATGCTTATGTTGCTACTGTAAACATTTATTGAAAATTTCTAAAAGTATTTTAAACATTTAGCAATTTTAATCTTGGTTATTATAATTTTAAAACTTGCTATGAAGTTTATTTACAATTGTTTATGTTAGAAGGTGCCACTAGTTATAATAAAAATGCAATAATTTTGTGCTGCATTTAGCAGTTATACTAAAAAGTACATAATATAACAAAATATGCATGATTTGAACAAAATACTGTTTGTAGCAATAACACAAATTTTAAAACCACCCAGAATTAGGTTACTTATTTAAACATTTACTTATATAAAAATCTAATAATTTTCCAGTTTTATGTATCGAAATAATCAAAATATATAAAAATGTATAAAATTTGTCTATCCTTAATGAACAATTTTTCAGTAACTTTACCTTTTTTTCCTTACGAGACATCTTCTTCATAGCCTCATGCTTTTGTTTTAGTCTTTCAATCTTGTTACCTTGTACAGCTGCCATTTTAAGAGCATCTGCGTTAATACGTAAATATAAAAAGGTTTCTAAAACCTAGTATGACAAAAAAAAACATTTTTTACAAAATTTGTATTTCATTAATTTTTAAATTTTTACAAAAAAAATTAAATAGTTTGTTAAACAAAATAAAAATTGAACGAAAAAGAAATCTATTTAAATTCATTAAGATTTGAAAAATCAACTACAAAAATAAAATAAATATACAAAAGTTGAAACCTGTGATTTCACATTTGGCTTAGATTTGACAAGTTTATTAATAAACTTTACAACCTAATTTTTAAAAAGAAAAATACTTTTGTGTTAAACTAATTTCTGTAATTAATATATATATATATATATATATATATATATATATATATATATATATATATATATATATATATATATATATATATATATATATATATATATATATATATATTAGGGCAGGTTACAGTACCACAAACTTTTCAAGGAACCAATTTTATTAATGGCTGCATAAAATATTGTTCATTTTATTATAAAAATCATTTTTTGTTATGAAAGTGTTATCTATAAGTTCTGCTGAACTTCATTTTTAGTCTGAATTAATTGAATAAAACTAAAACAAAACTTCCATTGCATCTGTTCTGTTTTTAGGTTTAATACTTACTAATAATTGCATATTTCTATTGTTCTTCATGTAGAGATCTACTTAAAAGATTTTATTAAAATAATAAAAAGAATAATGAATATGAAAATTTACCATACATTTAAGAAATTTGTTTTCCAATGACTTCCCAATGCAGTGTATTTTTTCAAAAAACATGTTTAAAAAGCTGAGTAAGACTAAATATTTTGCTTATTTTTTAACAAATTTTTTTTAATAAAGTCAACTCTCACAAATCTAATTGTAGGGAAAGGTTGAATAGCTAGAAGGAGTAGATTCAATGATAAAAATTCATTGATTAAGTTGTTGTAGTTATAAGGATAGGCGAAGATACATTGGAGCTAGCATAGATTGAGGGAATGATCATTATATTGGGGTTGGGGAGGTTGGGGGGGGTTTCTTTTTTATACTTTTTAAGATTGAACTCTTAGGCAATCATTATTTTTAAAAACATTTTTAAATCTTGTTTACACTAGAAAACTGGAATACAAATTTACTGCGTAGTGTTTACTGCATTTTGTTTTTTACTGTCCTTTTTGAATTTTTTGCTGTTTTTAGAATTTTCTGTTGTTTTTTCATCAAACAATAGCTGTTATTAAATGCTTAAAACCAGTACTCCAAGTAAACACAGGATTGGGTGACCTTTGAAAGTATAAATATATATATAGCATTGATAAGAATGGACATAATGGGTTGGAACTCTGAAACTCTTGTGTAAAAGGCAAGCCCGCTACCACTATACACTACTGCACTGGTAGTGGTTTATATCATTCATTGTTAAATATTAGTTTATATTACATTGTTAATATAAATTCAAATGGCATCTCTTATGCAGCAGTGAAAGTATAAATAAATAAAAAAACAATTTTGAAAAATGAAACTTACTTTTTCAAATAATCAATAGTTAATATTTTTTCATATTCATTTTCCAAATAAGAAATATTATGTTAAATCCAGACTGATTAAGAATAAAACATTGTCTAGTTTGCAGCTCTCAAAAGTCAAAACTAGACAAATAGGAAGGATAGAGTTGAAACTAATTGAATAGGCAGGATAAACAATTTGTAAAAATTCATTTTTGAGATTCTGCAATTCAAAATCTATGAACAGTTGCAGTACAAATTTATAAAAACTCCTCTCTGGCTATCATGACGCCATCATATTTTTAAACTATTCCTTGAGTCATTTTGGAAAACTTTATTTTGAAAAACAGAAAACAACTGATGTTATAATATATTTGATGATTTTGATGTTAAACATTTTACAATTATTAAAATTTTAATACATAGAAGATTTAAAGCACACATATAAGATTTATTAGATGCTGCAGAATTATCAAGTTTTTTAGTGGCAATGATGTGTTTTTACAATTTAGAAGATAATGGAAAATATTTTGAAATTCATTTATAAGAATGAGACGAAAATGTAATTTATTTAAAATGAAACTGTTTCAAACCTTTATGGTAACTATCAATACATAAAAATTAGTTAAGAAGATAGTTCAAAATATATACATAAAAATAAACATATAGAACAAATTCAAATTAAATTTCTTATTTTCAGGGCGAGGCTACGCAAAATAAAGGTTTTAAATGGTCAAAAATCCCAATAAATAGCAATTATTTGGTGATTTAGCACAAATACAAATAATTTATAACTTTATAACCCTCTAATTTATAACCCTTTTTATGAGTAACAAGACAGTTATTATACTGAAAATAAATATTATTCATAACAATTTATTTACTATTGATATAAAAATCCTAATCATTTTTGAATTTCCTACAAAGTCCCAATTTTGACATATTTTAGGCTAAAAACAAAAATAATTGAATCCAATTTGGCAGCAATCAATAATGTTTTTTTCAATTTTTTTTTTTTAATATTTTGTATTCTTATGTGTAAAGGATCATAATTTTTTGCAGACATGCAATTTTTAAAATTGTTTTTTGGCCTGCCCTAAATTTTTTATAACATTTTTATGTTTTTTAGCATGCTCAGTTGCTTGTTGATAGTCTTAACAAAAAGCAACTTTTTTCTTATTTAGCTCAATTCAAAAGCTAATTTTTAAAAGTAAAATATACTTTTGATGATTAAAAAGCATCTTAAATGTTTAGAGATGTAAAATATTTACTATCCTCATCTTACATACGATCTTTTTGGGGCAACACTTTAGCATAAAAAAATCTTTACGCCAAAATTCACAAAAAAAGAAAGTACTCTGAATCATCCTACAACGTTTATGAGTTATAAATAGCTTTATGAGTTATAAATAGCTTTATGAGTTATAAATAGCTTTATGAGTTATAAATAGCTTTATATTATTTTAATCAAAATAATTACCAAATGATTATAAAACTATTTAATTTTACTAAATTTATTTATATACATAGTCTAAAAATAATTTTCAAATTGTATACACAAATAATGACTGCATATACAAAAAACTTTTAAAAAGATAAGTGAACCTTGTTTTGATTTAGACTATTTTTTATTTTGTTAATAATTAAATTATTAAATCTGATTTGATTAAATTTTTGTAAACAAATTAAAAATACTTAAACAACAAACCTTTAATTTATATTGCAATATAAATTATGTTAAATTTATGTTAACTATTATAATTTCAATATTTATATTTCAAACTATAATATAAAACATCAGACTTACTTCTAATGAAATATCGCCAACTGAATCATTGCAGAAAATATTCTTTATTGTATTAAAACAATTTATTCCAGCCTTTAAAATCGGAAACAAGGTAACAAAAAATTAAGAAACAGGAAAAAAAAAACTATTAAGAATGTAACATGGGAAACAAACCTCTGAAAGATCATCAGATAACTCCATTTTAGGT